TTGTATAGGTACGTTCCAGCACGTGTCCCTGTTGCCTCGACCAAGTTGCGAAAACCAGATCAACATTTGCCTCTTGGACAGCGTGAAGAAGCCACGCGACAGCTGATCAAAATGAATCTGCCGTCGTCTTCTCGTGGGATCGACCTTCTAATCCCTTCACCAAGCACTTTCACTTGAAATGGAAGTTAGCTTAACAATGATTGTCGAAACTTTCCTTTAGTACTAAATTTGTTTGATGAAGAGATTCGTTGGTTGATCTTATTGGAAGACGACGGTTGATTCCAGTTGTTGTGCAAATCGTTTTCCTTTACTGCGACCTCCGGTTTGATGCAGTCCAAGAGACATTCTCTTTAGTTTCGAGTGCAAATTTTAATTATGTATGATAGAACCGGTTAGCCTTCTTGACTATTGCCCAAACTAGTTCCAGCTCTGATGATTTCCGACAAATGTTGCACGAAACCTCATCACGGATTCGCCCAAAACGAAATAGGATGTCTTCTGGACTGCGTCAACCTGAACTTTGTGGTGAGGCAAAACGACTGCCAAACCCTGGAAAACCGGTGTCCTCTTTGAATCAGGTCTCACTAATAATCTCTTCTTCAGTCACACAAGCAAAAAGACAGATACACACATGCAATGAAAGACTCCACGCTCGTGTTGTCTATCCCTCGACGTTCTTGTGTTCCTCGGTCGTCAGCTGTTGGTCTTTTTGCATCCGATCCTGCCAAAAGACCGGTCAGGCTTGCGGCGGTGTCGCCAATTCTTTGGCCAAAGTTGCCGTTTGATGGAATCCAGTCAAATGGCCGCCGACCCTTGAGACAGTGGCCTGGACAGCATGTGAACACCTTACGCTGCCCACAATCCACACGGCAGTGTCTAACCTTGCCACCCAAAACCACCAGCACCGGCACCAACACCGACACCATCAATGGCTGGCACAAGCCCTTGTGTAGACAACAAGACTAACACCGAAACAAGCATGAACAAGTGCAGAGACAAAGAACTGGGCACACCGACAAGCACTGGCATAAATTCATGCAAAAGAAGACACGCTGCTTACATGAGTACCTCACGGCACGGATATCTCAAAGGGAAGCGAGAGAAGGCGAGCCAGAAATAACTGGACAGACGATAGATCGCTTTGTCGCTGCCCCAGCCCTGACGGCCCGTCTGTCTGTCTGTATGCCAGTCAGGATGTCTGTCTGGAGGCTCTGTTAGCTCTGCAACCGAAGGCCCCACATTGGTCCACATCGACTTACTCTGACCGGACGTAGACACACCTTCGGCACCGTAAGTCAAATAGAAATAGAAATCGATCATCCAATCGATCGATTGGTGGCAGAGTAAGAGTGAGAGTGAGAGTGAGAGTGAGAATGGGAGTGGGATAAATAGTGAGACCTGATGTAAAGTCAAAGTAGAACCGAGGCCGTGGTTTAGGGCTCAAGGCCCGGGGTCAACTGGCCACCGAGTCAGCCAACCAGCCGTGTGGACCATGAAACTTCGAATGAGACTGACGCAATGAAAGGAGGATAGAGGTAAAGAACTCTACTATCGATCTGTCCGGTAAGCGCGGTCACAAGATCGCCTCAAGGTCAAGGTCATGTTTGCGATCCAAGAGGGAAGAGGTACCGACAGGCCGAAGAGGCAAGAAGAGTGGAAAGTTTGACACGGGCAAAAAGAAAATTGATTTTGCTGTTGTTGTTGTTGTTGCTGTTGTTGTTGCTGTTGGTGTAGGCCAGCCGCTCGAGGTAGATGTAGGTATAGATGATGATGCTGACGCAAAAGCTAATTTTTTCGATGTTGATGTTAATAATGATGTTGATGTTGATATAGACGACAAGTAAGAGGTTGATGTTGATGGAAATGTTAATGAAGATGGTGATGAGGATAGAGATTATGATGGAGATTTTGACAAAGTTACAAATGCTGATATAGGAAGTAAGGAAATAGAATGGAGTGATAATGGTTGAAATGATGCGCATTAATTCATTCAGATCATATCAGGGGTCGGCAAAACTCATCTAACCTCACCTATAATCTCATCTTGTATGCTATCATTTCCGCTTCTCTATCCTCTCCTCTCCTCTCTTCTCTTCTCTTCTCTCCTCTTCTCTTCTCTCCTCTTCTCTCCTCTCCTCTCCTC